CTGGGTCCCGCTCTATGGCGGATGGTGCCAGGACTTTAAAGCCTTGCCGCCCGGGCTTTAAAGTGGCGGCAGGGCCCCGGCGGCGTCCACCATAGAGCGGAACTGGGTCCCGCTCTATGGCGGATGGTGCCAGGACTTTAAAGCCTTGCCGCCCGGGCTTTAAAGTGGCGGCAGGGCCCCGGCGGCGTCCACCATAGAGCGGAACTGGGTCCCGCTCTATGGCGGATGGTGCCAGGACTTTAAAGCCTTGCCGCCCGGGCTTTAAAGTGGCGGCAGGGCCCCGGCGGCGTCCACCATAGAGCGGAACTGGGTCCCGCTCTATGGCGGATGGTGCCAGGACTTTAAAGCCTTGCCGCCCGGGCTTTAAAGTGGCGGCAGGGCCCCGGCGGCGTCCACCATAGAGCGGAACTGGGTCCCGCTCTATGGCGGATGGTGCCAGGACTTTAAAGTCCTGCCGCTGGGGTCCTGCTGCCAGCTCTACTCATCCACTACTCAGGGAAGAGGTTTTTTTTATTGCTGTCACTGCCCCCAGGAGAAACCAATGGGATGGCTGAGAAGACCCCTACAGTACCCCATCAGCTGAGAAGAATTATTCGGCAGCGGGCGGGCAGCAGCACAAAGGAGGAGAAGGGGTCCCATTCACAGCCTCGATCCCCCTCTCCATTTCTGAGCTGGGGAGGGGGGGCTTGGTGCAGCTCTGACCCGGGTTGGGAGGAGATTGTGAAGGCGCGAGGGTGGGATATCCCTTTTGGAATCCCCCCTGGGGGAAGGAGAGCCCAGAGTGGTGGACGCCGCCCCGCCTCCCCAGGCTGAGGGGGGAGGAGAGAAAGAGAGGCAGGCAGTCACCCACCTACCCTCCTCCCTGCCCCCGCCCCGCGCAGCTGGAGGGCCATGCTAGGGAAGAGGCTACGCTTTCCAAACTTCCTGCCCCTCTTGCTTGGCCAACGGGTGCCAAGAGCTGACTCCGCGACCGCCTCCCAGCAAGCGCTTCCTCAGCCAGGGGACCACAGGAGCTGCCGCAGCCACTCCCCGGGGAGGACCTGAGCGCTCACCCTCTTCTTCCTCGCAGAGTGTGCACACACCAGTGAGATGAGCAGCCCTCCACTTCAGGGCCCCGGAAGCAGGACTTTAAAGTCCCGACCCAGTCCCGTTCTATGGTGGATGCCGCCGGGGCCCTGCCGCCACTTTAAAGCCCCGGAGGCAGGGCCCCGGCAGCGTCCACCATAGAGGGCTTTAAAGTCCCAGCGCTGCATCCACCATAGAGCGGGTCCTGGTCCCGCTGGGTCCCGGTCCCACTCTATGGCAGACACGGCGCCGGGTCTTCACCGGAGCTTTTGCGTTTGCCTCACCNTTAGACTTATATACCGCTTCATAGGGCTTTCAGCCCTCTCTAAGTGGTTTACAGAGTCAGCATATTGCCCCCAACAACAATCCGGGTTCTCATTTTATCCACCTCGGAAGGATGGAAGGCTGAGTCAACCCTGAGCCGGTGAGATTTGAACTGCATAACTGCAGTCAGCTGAAGTAGCCTGCAGTGCTGCATTTAACCACTGTGCCACCTCGGCTCCTAAAGGTAGGAGTTAAATAATGAGCTAAAAGTACAGAACTTCTGAGGGCTTCATGTGGAGCACTACCAGAAAATATTGAATGAAGGGAAGTTCTATATCTTAGGTTCTAACAGCTGTATCCGCTCCAGTCTGACCACTGCCATCAAATGACTTGGCTTGCCTCCTTCTATGACATAACCTCTTTTGCTTTCCTTTTGAAGAATGTTTATTTATAAGAAATGCAGAGTCCAAGATAATTTTGCTTTGGCTCTCAGACTTAAAAAGAGTTGCTTAGTTTTACTATCTTTTCAGCGCACTATAAGGCAGTTTGTTTTCAATAACATATATGCATATCTCACCATTTCCTGACATACGAATGGGAACACTATGGTAGATTGTTTCTGATAGCAGTTTCAAAAAATAATTCCATATGAGTTTGACACTTTTAAAAAGTTACTACATAGCCCGTGACCCACTGGGTTATTGTTCCAGAGACATTTCTTTACCAGTAGAGAAACATAATGATCATGTACAGGTAAAAATTCAGTTGGAGTGTGAGTGACTAACGATTACCTGCTAATGTCCTATTGACTTTCCTTGTGGGAATTTGGCAGGGAGCATTGGAAACAATGATTATGTAGGTTCGACTGACCACGGCAGTCTTGTGGCGCTGAAATGGCCACAGTTTTGCCAAATTTCAATTCCATAGGAGTAATGAGTTCTGGATTTTGGATGCATTCTTTAAGTTAAAGTACAGTGATTAAAAAATGGTTGCCCTACAAGGCACCATTTCGCCCAATAGAAGATTACAAACAGACGAACAGGAGAGCTTTAGTAGTATATACATCTTAATATTCTCCTCAACCAATTCACTCCAATTATTTTTATGTAGTTTCCAAGCTATTTTAACACTTTAAAATAAGAGAAAATGCTCTTTTCTAATCATAGTCTAGGAAGGTTATTTTGATTTTAAAAGCATCTTCATCTTCGTCTAGGATCAGAAAAGATTAGGCGAACCCTTTCTCAGTGCAGCTCTTCTATGGGCCACTTAAAAGAGCTGGATCATTGATTCTCTTGATTTTCCAACTCCAACCCATTTAACTGAAGAGGAAAAAAAGAAAAATAATTAGAAATAACATAATGAATAATTAGCAAATAAATAACATGATGAAATATATTACAAGTAGTCCTGTAGTGACCATTCAAAGTTATGATGGACCTATCCCAGGAGTACTTTCAACCCATTTTTAAACCTCCAATGGCCACACACATAAACTCCCATGCTCACATGACTGCATTTCTGGGCACTTGGCAACTTGTTCTCATTTATGGCCATTTGCAGTATCTTGCAGTCATTATTTTTGGTGTGAGGGTTAGGGTTATTTCCAGTTTCTGGCAAAAAAAAAAACAACTTACCCATTGGGGAAGACAGGTTTCTCTTATGATCGTAGTGCTTACTTAACAACCATGGCATTCATTTAATGACCACCACAAAATGGTTGTAAAATTGAGCATTGTTATTTGTGACCTGCTTAATAACCACCATAATTTACGACCATGATTCTGGGCTCAATTATGGTCTTAAATTGAGGATTACCCTTACAGGCTATAATCCTAGAGGGTAAATTAAAGAATCCAAATTCAAAAGCAATTAGCTCTAAGGCAGCCATGTAATAAAAGTTGTTTGTTATTTAGCAGGAAGCAGCAAAAAAATCCCCATTAGTATTAGTATATATATATATATATTGGTTTTGCTGCTGTGGTTTAAATACTATTGCAAATTATATTATATAATTCTTAGGCACTGAAGTATTAGCAGTGGTATTATTTAATCAGCAAGTCTCCTCTAACAAATACCATCAATACTGGGATGGATTAGGTTGAAGTTTATCAGTTAGGGATCATAAGCAGCTACTAAACATCTTTGGAATACCTGCGGAGCAAGAAATCTACCATACACTAGTTTCACAAAGGAATGACAATGATTCTAGTTAATTTTTCTTTAGCAGTAGGAATTGCTTAGGACCCCTAATCTATCTCAAGCCCCAGAAAGCTGCTGCTTTTCTAATTGGCAAGAACCTGTCTATTTACAACAATAAACATAGCAAACCCTGTTAGAACAATCATGATGAAAATACATACCTGACACACCAACATGGTTTTCTACAAATCTAATGTAATTTTGTGCCTTAGATGGAAGTTCCTCCCATTTTCTGGCATTAGTTGTGTCAGTTTTCCAACCTGGCATTGTTTCATATTCAACTTCTACTTTTTGTAATATTTCCTGATTAGCTTTAAAAGTGAAAAGGTAACTATTCAGGTTATAAGAATCATGTAATCATAATTTAGCATTTACTCTTAAAAACATAATAAACAACTCTTTAACCTAATCTTGGAAGCTTTCGCTCTTTTGGTGACTATTGCTCTCAAAACCTCTTTTTCTCAAAAATGATTATCTTCGCTTTTAGAATAAATCAGATTATACAGAACAATCAGGTGAGATCTTTACTGAACAATTGCCCTACTTTATTCACAGCATTTAGGTGTCATTTTCTTGACTTCAGAAAGACAGAATAATTCTACAATTATCTATTTGTCTGGACTGTATCTTTAGTGAAATAACAGAGAAAATTATTGGCACTCATTTTACTTATATGAAGTCTGTAGGCTAGTTCGCATAAGTGGCAATGTCACTGGTTATATATAATTTTTGTAATAGTTAATAGATAAACGAGAGGAAGAAAAGACCAGATCTTCTCAGTTCTTAATTATTAACATTACAGAATGTGTATATGTGGTACACAAAGATGTCAAAATGCACATGTACAAACCTGTCCTTTGAAAATTGTCAGGCTCCCGTGTCACATGTCCTTTCAAATTTCTTTCAGATTTTTCTTATTCTTCTATTTTTTAAAGGAAAACTGGCATGCTATGAAGCCCAGCTACAATTTCTGTATGAGCTCTGAAGCTTTCTTGGAAATTAAAAGTTTTGAAGGGCCGTAGCAGGGGTGGGTTCCTGCCAGTTCTAACCTCTTCTATAGGTTCCACAAATCTACCATGCCATTTAGAACCAGTTCCAGCTCCTTCCCCCCGCCCGTCTGCACCATGCTTGCCCCGCCCACCGCTCACTCATTGGCTGGCTCACCAATCGCCCCGCCCACCTCTAAGAGTCCTATCTAAACCTTAAAAGTCTTAAAGCTGTCAAGTTTGAACATCCCTGGGTTTTTTTTCCTAAAGGGTTAGGGGTGCAAGGGTCGTGCAACTTGACAGCTTTAAGGCTTGCACACTTCAATGCCAGAGTTCCTGAGCCAACATGACTGGAGGAGGAATTCTGGGAGTTGAAGTCCACAAGTCTTAAAGCTNTTTTTCCCACTTATTTTTCTTCTAAATGAGTCTTTTATGATTTGGGGAACCTGATAAGCTAGTCTTTTTCAACCTTCTTAAAACAAAGGGAACCAATTTGGTACTCTCTTCATAATCTATATACAAAAGCAGTATGCATCAGAGAGTAATAGGCAATGTTTTATTGTTGTTTTTACACTATGTTATAGAATGATATACATTTCCAATTTATCTGTGGTGAACGTCAGAAATTGACTGCAATATTTATTTTTTGCCTCATATAAAGTGAACAATTATGACTCACTAGGTGATTTATTTCTTTTTCCTCTATTGACTCTGATCTTGCTGTGTTAGTACAGTTTTAAATATAGCTATACAGAAACCAGCTGTTTGACTTTTGGGAAATATTAATTTAATTTTGAGCCAAGTTAGAAACCCTGTTTTATATTTTCAGAAAGAAGAAAGAATAAGTGACAAATCTGTGGTCTTGAATATAGCACAATAGTGCCACCTAAAGCATTTAATATATTAACCTCCTGATAAGACATCTGAATAGTCAGTATCCATCTCTTATTTCCCCAAAATGCTTCTCCCACATAATTTTTAAAGGAAACCTAAATTCCATGGTATCTTCCACCATGGAAACTCACTTGGTGACTTTAGGCCAATCATTTTCTATTAGCCCAATCTATCTCCAAAGGTTGTCTTTGTAGGGGAAAAAATGCAGTTGGGAGAAATTTCCTGTGAAGAATGATAAACTGATGTCCCCCCACACATCAGGAGACTTTGTACCCAATAGGCAGCTGGATGCAGGGTCCAGACCAGTGGTGGGTTTCTGCCGGTCCGCACCGGTTCAGGCAAACTGGTTGGTGAAATTCAGCAAGCCAGTGAGGACCAGTGGACCCAGAAGTAACTTCCGGGAATGCCGGCACCGCTCCTGTCGCTTGCTCGCCCTTGCAGTTCCGTCGCAGCTTGCTTGCTCCCCCACCCATCTGCACTAAACTAGGCTAGCCCAACCTGCCACTCACTGATTGGCTGGAGACTGGAGCCCAGCCAATCAGTGAGCGGGCTGGAAGTGACCTGTTTAAAAGTGAGGCGCCAATGGCCAATATTCCTCTCTTTTTCATTCCCGAGCTGATCAGTCCTCCCTTCACTTTGCCTTCCAGGAGCTTGCTGCTTCCCTCAGGTAAGCAATTAAGTGTGAGGGGGTGGCAGGACTCGGGAGGCTAGCTTACGCCAGCTCGTGAAAGCCACAAGCTGGTGTATGCCATGTGGCCAAAAGCCACGGGCTGGCATACACCATGCGGCCGAAAGCCCCCCCCATCCAGCTTCACCTGGCTGGCTAAGCCTGCCAGGTGACGTTCTTAATGACAACCCTGGCCTTGTCCCTCCAGTCCAGTGTCTTCCCTGTCCTGCTTCCTCTCTGCCTGCCTGCTCCCTGTTGTATCCATCCATCGCATCGGAGTCGGATCCATCGCATTGGAGTGCTGCTGATTCTGCCTGCTGGTAAGTGACCCATTTTTTTCTTTTATTTTTTTAATGTATTTTAAAATAATATTTCATTTATTTTGCATAGAAT